AACTCAACTGAGTAATGTAACAAACAACAAATATGTTCATACTGAAAGCTGTTTTGCAGTTATACTTGTAAGTTTCTTCCAATTGGAGGAGGCAGACTCATCAGGAGAGGTGTGGCGAGGTGGAGGAAGTGTGGAAATTGCGTAAGATCTTGAGAGATATGATGGAAATAGGTTAAGTCTTAAGTTTCTCAACATAGGATTTTGTGGCTGAAGGAACAAGACTCGACAGGTAACAGAGCGACTCCACTGAAAGCACTGCAAGATACCGGAGGAAGACATTTCTGTTAGTTGGATCAAGTAAAGAATTTGATGCTAAAAGAAAGACTTCCAAAAATTTATTTAATTATTGACCATAATTACATCACCGTGCATTTTGTTATCGATCGATAGTGCGGTGCAACAAAAAAATTTTGCTTGCGTAACATAGATGTTCAATCTGTATGAAATTCTGCATGCATAATAATAATTGATCATGCGACAAATCTGACAAAAAAATCAAATTCGATTAATTACTTCATACATTTTGAGAGGAATTCTTGGCATAAAATACACCTGCATTATTCATTCTTTAGAGGGAGGCGTGGAAGGAAAACGTTTAAAATGTCAGTATATCGAAGTTATATACATTAATGATAATTATATCTCCCTCTTCCATGTTATTATTATGCATATACTCATTCCGGTTTTGATATTGCAAATACTGTTTTGGATTCATAGTAAATTTGCCTTGAGTTTTACGTCTATTATTCTTAGATTTGCGAGACATATCTTATGTATAGTGAGTGATCAATACTAATACTAATACATTCAATTTTTTTCTAGCAAAGTGATCTCCGTTCCAAATTGGAACGCACGTGATTTTGATGAAAATAAAGCATGGACATCCACATAATTCTGATCGAGACAAATGGTTACATAGAACTTTACTTTATTGATATATAAAAAATGTTACCAAAATAATAACATAAAAATAAATAAAAAATCTTATCGCAGTTATATACTGCAGACGTAAAAAATACATATCGTATTTACATGATGCAAATCATTCCTTTTTGAAAAAGGGAGCCAATGATGTTAATATCTTATCACCACTTTGCTCTTTCTGTTGATTTAACTTAAAAATTCTCCTACCATCGACAGATAACTCGTAGCTATTTATCCAAGTTATGAGATAACTTTTTCTATTCTCAACGAGTACAGTTGAAACTTTATTTTTAGTCGCTACATTCATAAAAACTACATTTTCTATGCCTTGGCATGAGCTCCGCTCTAAATCGTCAATTGGAATATCATTTTTATCTACAAGAAAAACCCTCGCGACGTCTTCATTTAACACTTCAATCTTTACTCGGATGTTATATTATTAAGTAAAGGAAAACAATGCTAATTTAAAAATTACGGTGTGCTCACAATGTTTCTAGAATCC